GCGGTTCTACAGGTCGCAGGTTCAACTCTTCGAGTTGACGCTGGTACTGTACACAGGTAAGTTGGGAAACTAGGGATCGAGCCCTGGGATCTACCTCAGCTACCACGAATTGGTGAATACCGTTTCAATTTGGTTATTCATTGTTTTTTTGGGAAATAGGGGGGGGGGAACTTTCAGCAGCATTTGATTTTCAAGTCGCAAAAACCGTGTCACACTGTTGCGTTGAGCTGGTTCAACGGTGCATGTGGGACTTGGCCCCTGGAATAGATGGGGCACCTTGTCTTGTAAAAAAAAAAAAAAAAAAAAAAAGAAAAAGGCATAGTCTTACGGACTCTTACTCCATCAGTGATTATGATCCAAGGTGACGGTTCCTACCATTCGATTGTTCGCATAGCATTGGGCCAGACCTGCATGCTTCCTTGCTTGCTAGCTTGTGGACTTCTTATGGGCTTAATATATATGCAGGGCAGACTGTGAGGACCCCGGCTTCATTCCTCTTATTGGTAATATTAGCCTTGGGCACTGGGCCCCCTTTAAAAAAAAAAAGAAAAAAAAAAGGGTGATAGGGTGTGAAGGACAGCCTTTCAGCTTACTACTAGTCAGAAGGTGTTGTTTCTTTTCTTTTTCTTTTTTTCTTTTCTTTTTTTGGTGTCGTTTCAAAAGGCATCCTTCGAATGATTTTAGTATTCTGGTTCATCATCTGGATTCGAACTTGGGTCTACATTTTAACAGCTCAATGTCATGCCATTCGGAATATCAACTGAGCTGCGCGCATTGGTCCGTTGGCCTCATGAGAAGGTGACACTGTCCTTTCAACAGGTGCGAAGCCAGAGGACAGCTGCTACAGGCGTCCTTTGAATAATTTTATTCTGGTCTTCTTGCTGCATCCGCGTTCGAACTCGGGTCTAAATGTCAGCAGTTCATGGGCGTACCAACTGAGCTAGTAAGCCCATTGGTAACCTGTCCTTTGGCCTCCGAGTCGTGAGGTGGTGTCCTTTGAACAGGGGAGAAAGGGGCCAGAGGTGTTGCATCTGGATTGGAACTTGGGGTCTATGGGCCTCGCCACACGACTCTCGAAATGTGAAAACGACAAAAATGTGGCGGGTGCATCTGGCCATGTTCTAGCGGGAAGTTCGTTCTCATGTTGCACAGTTCGAGCGGGGATATTTCAGCAGTTCATGGGTGTACCTACTGAGCTAAGCCCATCGGTCTAAGGTGTCTTTTGGCCTCCGAGTCGTGAGAAGGTGTCCTTTCAACAGGGGAGAAGGCGGAGGACACGCGTTCAATATATAGGTGACCGAAAAAGGTGCATTGCATCAAGTCAGACTCAGAGGTCTTCATGCTCTATAAAAAGGTGCACTAGGAAGTCTTAAAGGTAAAGATGATCGACTATAAAGTTGTCCCATGTCCTTCTTTGGGACACACAGAGGAGGAGGAGGAGGACAATGAGCAGCAGGAATTGTTGTTGAGTGGCATCAAGAGAGTTGTTGCCCTTCCAAAATTGTTGGATGTCAAATTTGTGTGCGAGGACGTGCGCAAGGTGCGCGCAAACCGAACACTGTTGGCGAGTGGGAGCGAGTACTTCCTAGAGCTATTCTACGGGGACATGAAAGCGAGCTGCGCGGACATGACGATACCTCTTCCGAGCGTGAAGGCTGACAGTCTGCAGGTTGTAGTCGATTACCTTCATGGTCGTCCGTTTCGATGGAACAAGGACAGTTCATGGGACATTCTGGTGGACACGTACCTTTTAGCGGACGAGTATCAGGTGAAAGGGTTGTGCAAGCGAGTCCTGCGCTTGGTACCCACACTGAGATATCCCGGGGAGTTGGGGGACCTGCTGAACGCAGCGGTTCCCAGGCAAGCAACAGCCATCCTAGAGGCCGCTTTGAAGGTTACCGTAGCAAGCAATGACGTGACGGTCAACTCCGGGTAGCTCATGGGTGGGGCCAAGGCTAGCATCAAGTACTGCCTAGATAACTTTTTAAAATTTGAAGGTTTCTTTTTTTTTTTTTTCTTTTTTTTTCTTTTTTCCGCTTTCTTTCAGGAAGTCCAGGTTGTTGCAGAGATTGGCATATGACAGTTGTTGCCTTTCAGCAGTCGATCATCTGAGCTTTCCTTAATCCACCTTTCCGAGCCCTCCTCCCTCCTCCCTCCTCCCTCCTCCCTCCTACCTTGATACCGTACCCCCTACTCCCTGGTGAGTAGGTCTTATTATGTTGTAGACCAAAACATGCATTTCGTCAAAAGTAGACATTTCGTGAAAACTGGACTCGAGTCAAAAACTTTACGTTGATTTTTTTTTAAATGGGTTTTAAGGCTGTTACATAGGACATGCATTGGCCGTTGTCACAAACATTTGGGCATAAACCTATATTTTTTGTCAAGCAATGAGCCAGATGGAAACACAAAAAAGCAACGCATCCAAGTTGGAGACTTGCTTTGCATAAGGAGAACTATGTTTTTGGAAGTCATATGCACAAGTGGAGGCAACTGCACGTCAGTTGCCTCTGCTTCTCCCCCTTCCACGGCTCCTCTCCCCTCTGCGGCTGCTCCTCCCCCCAACCCCGCTCCTACCCCCTCCGCTGCCCTCCCCCCTCCGCCGCTCCTCTGCACTCCTCCACTCCTCCCCCTCCCCCGCTCCTAGCCCCTCCGCTGCTCCTCCCGACTCTGCCGCTCCTTCGCTCCTCCCCTTGAGCTGCTCCTCCACACTCCTCTGCTCCTCCCCGCTCCTCCGCTCCTCCCCCTTCCGCGGTTCCTCTTCCCTCCGCGGCTCCTCCTCTGCTCCTCCCCCTTCGCTGCTCTTCCCGACTCCTCCCCCTCCGCTCGTCCTCCCCCCTTC